GCGGTATTTTAGTAGCCTTTTTTAGTGGATTCAAATTATTTTTTTTTAAATGCTATGTGATATCCTACTGCATACTTGGGTGCGGTAGGATACTGCTTAGTGAATTGTACCCTGGATATGGACCAGTCAAAAAACGCTTCTAAACACAAATGCTTATAAATGTGGTTAACTGCGTTTACTCGTGTTTATAAGTGTTTGGCGTTTGAAACACCGCTAAAATCTACTCCTGAACGCAATTTTGCTGCGTTCAAAAAAAACGACTGTAAACTCAACTGCCTGTAAACGACTGTAAACGACTATGTGTACATGGAAAACATTAGGGAGAGTTCAGGGGCTGCTGAAAAAAATGCAGAAAATTCCTGAACGTCAGTTTATCAGCTGCAGTGTACATGAGCCCTAAACCTGCAACAGACAATTAGGAACTTTCTGGATTTCTGTCAGGATCACTAGTTATTTGTCAGTTATTGCAGCTTTTATGAAGAGATAAAACATTGGGTAAATTTCATGTATTGCAAAGATGTATTTTTCTCGTAATGTATTAAATACTTTTCCTCTTGGGAATACATTTAGAACGTTTGTTAAATTGTTTTTTAAACTCATCACACCCCTATGCATATATATGCATTTTTGTTCCACTTTTTTCAACCTGTACTGCCTAGGAAAACAAAAAAAATCAAAGTTGGCTAGCACTAAAATGCTGTATAATGTCAAAAAATTTATATTTTCAAATAAGTGCAGCAATAGGTCCAAATCAAGTGCAAATTCCAATATGATACAGCAAAGACAACATAAAGTGGAATAAAGCGATCCAACAAGATCAAAAAAGTAGAAACTTGTTCTCAGGAAATGCGTACCTAAAATGCATAAATATGATACATTAAACACAATTTATTATGCTATATACACTTGTAGAATGCACACAGTGTATAAAGTGACACAACAAATTTATGATGAAACCTAGTCCGTTGATATTAAATCCATGAACCACAATCAGTTGATACCAACTCCCATGAAAAATAAACAAACAGTAATTTGTAGTAGAAATCGTAAAAATACATCACTTTTATTTTTTGAATGACAATTTTACACTGTGCATTTTAAAGCAAGAAATGTTTATATTAAATATGATATATTTCTTTATTGTTCATTGAGGTATACCAGAATCATAGATATTTGGGTTATACTGCCCAATACAGGAGGTTATGGGTACTGGCAACCAAAAAAATGACCAGTCTGGTACAAATCCCTCCACTCACAGCATGCCTCAGTTTTTTCCTATTGTCGTGGTAGCATGGATGTCTTTTCCCTATTGAGAATCATTAACCATTTTTAGTAGCCATTTTTTTCTGTTGTTCAAGCCTGTTTTTATTCAAGTCAAGACTTCTTTACATGCTGCTTGAGTTAGTCTCTTTCATGCAGATATCCAGATTGAACCTCCCAAAGAAAAAAGGCTCAAGGTCTAAAAAAAACAAGTAAATAGTATTGATCCGGGAGTCCCCAATCAAAGAATCCGTTGAAGATCAAAGAATACAATTAATTAGTTATGGACCAGGATCCGGTGTTTTTTTATATATATACAGGTGAAACTCGAAAAATTAGAATATCGTGCAAAAGTTAATTTATTTCAGTAATGCAACTTAACAGGTGAAACTAATATATGAGATAGACTCATTACATGCAAAGCAAGATAGTTCAAGCCGTGATTTGTCATAATTGTGATGTTTATGGCTTACAGCTCATGAAAACTCCAAATCCACAATCTCAGAAAATTAGAATATTACATGCAATCAATTAAACAAAGATTGTACATAGAACAATATCGGACCTCTGAAAAGTATAAGCGTGCATATGTACTCAGTACTTGGTTTGGGCCCCTTTTGCAGCAATTACTGCCTCAGTGCGGAGTGGCATGGAAACTATCAGCCTGTGGCACTGCTGAGGTGTTATGGAAAACCAGGATGCTTCAATAGCAGCCTTCAGCTCTTCTGCATTGTTCAGTCTCATGTCTCTTATCTTTCTCTTGGCAATGCCCCTTAGATTCTCTATGGGGTTCAGGTCAGGCGAGTTTGCTGGCCAATCAAGCACAGTGATCCCACGGTCATTGAACCAGGTTTTGGTGCTTTTGGCAATGTGGGCAGGTGCCAAGTCCTGCTGGAAAATGAAGTCAGCATCCCCATAAAGCTCGTCTGCGAAAGGAAGCATGAAGTGCTCCAAAATCTCCTGGTAGACGACTGCGTTGACCCTGGACTTAATGAAGCACAGTGGACCAACAGCAGCAGATAACATGGCTTCCCAAATCAACACAGACTGTGGAAACTTCACACTGGACTTCAAGCATCTTGCAGTGTGTGCCTCTCCATTCTTCCTCCATACTCTGGGTCCTCGGTTTCCAAATGAGATGCAAAAGTTGCTCTCTTCAGAAAAGAGGACTTTGGACCACTGAGCAACAGACCAGGTCTGTTTTTCTTTAGCCCAGGTAAGACGCTTCTGACGTTCTTTGTTGTTTGGGAGCAGCTTGACAAGAGGAATACAACATTTGAAGCCCATGTCCAGGATCCGTCTGTGTGTGGTGGCTCTTGATGCACTGACTCCAGCCTCAGTCCACTCCTTGTGAAAGTCCCCAACACTTTTGAATGGCCTTTTCCTGACAATCCTTTCCAGGCTGCAGTCATCCCTGCTGCTTGTGCACCTTTTTCTTCCACACTTTTCCCTTCCACATAACCTTCTATTCATGGGCTTTGATACAGCACTTTGGGAACATCCAACTTCTTTTGCAATTACCTTTTGAGGCTTTCCCTTCTTATGGAGGGTGTCAATTATGGTTTTCTGCACAACTGTCAGGTCAGCAGTCTTTCCCATGATTGTGATTCCTACTGAACCAGACTGAGAGACCATTTAAAGGCTCAGGAACACTTTGCAGGTGTTATGGCTTAATTTGGAAAACAATGCAGTTCCAACATCAAAGATGGCCACCTTGAACTCACCCCTCAGCGCGTGCGCTCCACTCACCGGAAGTGACGTAGATCATAAGGACAGCAGACCGGAAGTGGACGCACGTTGAGGGGTGTGTTCCAGGCGGCCATCTTTGATGTTGGAACTGCATTGCTATCCTCTGCAAACCACAAGACTGTGAGGTCTCTGGATAGAACTGTGGATATGTGGATCTGTGTGAGCCGAAGAAGGCAATTAAACAAATGCTTTTAATTTTCCATGAACATGTGAGTGGCCTGGTATTACTATTATTTTACTGATTATTATTGGCAATATTACACTATTGCACTGCTGGGGAGCTCTTGAAGGAGTGAGTTGGAGGAGAGCATCATATCAGTCAAGGTGGATAAGGAGCTCTGGAGAATATAGAGGGGGCATAGGATCCCTAAAATCCTAAAAGGCACAATACTCACCAATTATCTGGTGAGTGCGGTTGATGTTGATTTTTCACTGGTGGATGGTGGAAGCACATTTCTTTGGGAGAAAATTTTTTGTTTTTTATACACCTTTGGGAAAGGACATCTATATTCAATTTTATGACACATTTTTAAGGAAATGAATTTGTGGACACTTTATAATTGTATTTAATTATTGATGTTGATGGATGTTAGCATATGGTGAGGAGGTTTTGTGTTTTGTGCTGTTATCATATATTTCTTTATTAATTGGTGTATTGCACAGCAGCATACCTTTTACCTCTAATCACGTACTGAAAAAAGTATTTTTGTGCGCTGGGGTTTGTGTTTTACTTATTTTTAGTTATGGCTTAATTAGCTGACTAGAGTGGGACACTTTGAGCCTAGAATATTGCACCTTTTCACAATATTCTAATTTTCAGAGATTGTGGATTTGGGGTTTTCATGAGCTGTAAGCCATAATCCTCACAATTATGACAAATCATGGCTTGAACTATCTTGCTTTGCATGTAATGAGTCTATCTCCTATATTAGTTTCACCTTTTTAAGTTGCATTACTACAGTAAATGACTTTTGCACGATATTCTAATTTTTTGAGTTTCACCTGTAGACTCAAATAATTAATTAATATTGGTAGGGAGGCTGGTGGTCAAAGAATACATAAATGGCTTCTTTATTTTAAACAAAGACATATTAAAAACATATCAATACCAAACAAAACAAAAAAACTGGTGTATCCTCAGCATTAGTTTTGCAGACAATACGCAGATTCCACTGCACTGAATGATGGTGGAGCATGCCTGGAATGTGACCTCCAGATACTGGGCTATGCATTGTGATGTTTTTCAGAACTGTGTGACCTGTGTTAGTTAGCTGCTTTACAGGTCCAGAGCCATTGCACTGCCTCTGGTGTGACCCTCTCTCTGAAGGCTAATTTATGAGAAGACCATGTAGAATGAACACTGGGGGCTACTTCTTCTTCAATAGAAAATTTGTGCCCCATTATTCTCATCTATTTTCTGTTTGTTTCCACGGAAAGGGTTAAAACACTGAGTAAATGCTGGGTGCTGCTTCACAAGCTTTAATGCCACACATTGGTACTCTGCACTTGGTTCCCACCATTCAGTGTAAGGTAAGTAAGGTCCCAAATGTCACTGAATCCTATGTCCTTCAATGAACAGGAAAGGTCATAAACTTTTTGTACTCGCCTTAAAGTCCTTTTTTCGGAGTTCATTGAAAATGCAGGTTGTACCCCTCAGTGTATATGTTGTCTAAATCGCTTGATTGCAAATGGTTGGGAGTGGGAGGGGTAATTTCAAGCTGGCTATAACTTTTTGTTTGTCAGTGCCCATATCCTGTAGGTGGCAGTATAACCCAGGTATCTCTAAATCTTGGGTCCCTCAATGAATTCCAAGAAAATTATTTTACATTGGGTACAAAAATCCTGTATTATCTTGTATTGAGGTAATATTAGTAACTCAATCTCTAGTCTGAAGAAATTACTATCACCTCCTAAAATGTATTGATTAGATGCTGTTAAAAAAGGGTAAATACTGTCAAAAATATTTTCTGATCCTTTTTTTTTTCTTTTAGAAATATTCATTTGTTGCACTTTTAACTGATGTTTTGGAAATTGAAATAAAAGATAAATTTGCCAAAAGTCGTCCTATCATCAAGAGGTTTCTTGGAAAATTAACTATTCCGGTTCAAAGACTCTTGGAGAGACATGCAATTGGGTAATTATTCGGTTTTGTGCATTGGTGATGTTATTTGCAGTTATAAGGCTGCATTCACACTTGAACGTTTTGTAGTTCGAAGCTCTAAAAAAGCTCAAACTCAAAAAAGCAATTGTTCTCTATGGTGCCTGTTTACACCTGATCAGGCACCACAGAGAATAATTGATTTTTTAAGTTTGAGTGTTTTTTGAGCTTCGAGCTTCAAGCTACAAAACGCTCAATTGTGAATGCAGCCTAAGTCTATTTTTTTTGTTTGCAAATCTGAATTATTCCAAACCATTCTAATTCACTGATATTTTTCATTGTAACAATATACAGTGCCTGGAAAAAGTATTCATACTCCTTGAAATTTTCCACATTTTGCCTTGTTACAACCAAAAACATAAATGTACTTTATTGGAATTTTATGTGATAGACCAGCACAAAATGGCACATAATTGTGAAGTGGAAGGAAAATGATCAATGTTTTTCAAATTTTTTTATAAATACATATCTAAAAAGTGTATTTGTATTCAGCCCCCTTTACTCTGATACCCCTAACTAAAATCTAGTGGAACCAATTTCCTTCAGAAGTCACCTAATTAGTAAATAGAGTCCACCTATGTGTAATTTAATCTCAGTATAAATACAACTGTTCTGTGAAGCCCTCAGAGGTTTGTTAGAGAAAATTAGTGAACAAACAGCATCATGAAGGCTAAGGAACACACCAGACAGGTCAGGGATAAAGTTCTAGAGACGTTTAAAGAAGGGTTAGTTTATAAATAAATATCCCAAGCTTTGAACATCTCACAGAGCACTGTTCAATCCATCATCCAATAATGGAAAGAGTATGGCACAACTGCAAACCTACCAAGACATGGTCGTCCACCTAAATTGACAGGCCGGTCAAGGAGAGCATTAATCAGAGAAGCAGCCAAGAGGCCCATGGTAACTCTGGAGAAGCTGCAGAGATCCACAGCTCAGGTGGGTAAATCTTTCGACAGGACATCTATTAGTCGTGCACTCCACAATTTTGGCCTTTATGGAAGAATGGCAAGAAGAAAGCCATTGTTGAAAGAAAGCAATCAGAAGTTCCGTTTGCAGTTTGCGAGAAGCCATGTGGGGGACACAGCAAACATGTGGAAGAAGGTGCTCTGGTCAGATGAGGCCAAAATAGAACATTTTGGCCTAAATGTAAACCGCTACGTGTGGCGGAAAACTAACACTGCACATCACCCTGAACACACCATCCCCACCGTGAAACGTGGTGGCCAGCATCATGTTGTGGGGATGCTTTTCTTCAGCAGGGACAGCAAAGCTGGTCAGAGTTGATAGGAAGATGGATGGAGCCAAATACAGGGCAATAGTAGAAGAAAAATTTGTAGAGTCTGCAGAATACTTGAGACTGGGGCAGAGGTTCACCTTCCAGCAGGACAACGACCCTAAACATACAGCCAGAGATACAATGGAATGGTTTAGATCAAAGCATATTCATGTATTAGAATGACCCAGTCAAAGTCCAGACCTAAATCCAATTGAGAATCTGTGGCAAGACTTGCTGTTCACAGACGTTCTCCATCCAATCTGACAGAGCTTGAGCAATTTTGCAGAGAAGAATGGGCAAAAATTTTACTCTCCTAGATGTGCAAAGCTGGTAGAGACATCCCCAAAAAGACTTGCAGCTGTATTTGCAGAGAAAGGTGGTTCTACTAAGTATTGACTCGGGGGCTAAATACTAATGCACGCCACACTTCAAAGATCTGTATTTATAAAAAATTTTGAAAACCATTTATCATTTTCCTTCCACTTCACAATTATGTGCTACTTTGTGTTTGTCTATCACATAAAATCCCAATACAATACATTTATGTTTTTGGTTGTAACATAACAAAATGTGGAACATTTCAAGGGGTATGAATACTTTTTCAAGGCACTGTACAAACAAAATTGAGTAACCCCCATTATGGTGCAGTGTGTATGAGACAGATCTAAAGGTCCAACTTGGCTAATTAACTTTTCTTTTTGGATTTTGGCTGGTCACTTTGATCACATTTACAATGGTGCACAAAACTTTCCCATTTCGTCTGTGTGCTTTTGGATACATGTCCTTTTTAGTAAAAAAAATAAATAAATGTTCATGCATTGTATATATTACTGCTGTTACTTTTTAATACTGTAGTTATAGCTGGCAAATAAAGTATTAAATATAAGCATGCTGCCATCTTCAGGCAGCAGTGACATCTGCACACTGAGGGCTTATTTTCCCAATCATTAATGAGACTGAGTCTGTTAGTGACAGCTAAGTCTGCAAGGTAACAACTGCACAAAGGATCAGTATGATATGGTTATGGATCAGTTGTATTTTGTTTTATTTGTTTTCATACAGTATGTATGAATCTGTAGTTTATTTGTTTTTTGTATAACTTATACACAATCTTAGAAAGCCCATATATTAGTTTTTTCAAGTGTGTGGATGAGGGAAGCCCACAGAGCAGATGAGCAAAGTCGATCTGTAGTTCAAATGTCTGTTTAACCACAGTGCATACGCATGGATTTAAATTTGGTCTGTCCCTGCTGAACTGGCCAAATTTCAATCCATGTACTGTATGGGCAGCTTTAGTTTTGCAAATTTGTGGCACAGTTTGTCTGACATCTCAGTCAGTGCTGCTGGTTAAGGCAGAAGTTACTACTGTAATGACTCTACTTGTATGCTTAGTTTCAGCTATTGAATACTGTAAACAACATGCTTTTTTTCATCAAAGAAGCAAAGGGAGAGTCTTTAAGTAGAACTATTGGCAAAACAATTTTTTTTCTATTTTGGATAGATTGAAGGAGGGTTATGACCCCTCTCAGGTTTTTTTTTACCATCTTTGTCCCACAGGGGAAATTTACCTTCACTTCATGTCCCACAGCCAAAACAGGAAGCAAGAGGAAATCCCTGCAAATTAAGGGAATTCACTGGGGTGCCCCAGGTCACCAGAACCAGTGTCCCCATTGGAAGATTTCCCCTCTATTATTTTTCTGGTGACATCACAAAATTTGGGATTTTGTTTTACTTTCACTTTTGATGATAATGGTAAAGAGGATGAATAGAGAGAGTAAATCTTCCTAATGGGGGCAGAGGCAGGCCCGGACTGGCCATTTTCCCAGTGGGCTGGGGCCACTGGCCAGCATGTCTTAACAAGAGCTGGCTGTGACATGCAGCGCCAGCCGTGGGTGGGATGTGCAATTCAGGCATGCACTGCCAACACTTGCCAAAAATTGCTCAGTGATGGTGTGTAGGAGCGGAAAGAGTCTCTCCATTTCCCTGCCCACCAAGCTGTTCCATGACAACCGAAATTCCTAATTAGCACACGTGCCACGCAAACGCTGGTCGCTTGGGAACCAGGAGTGGAGGAGGGACGGAGAAGCTGAGGCCCTCCTGCACATGAAAGCTGATGAGGTGCTGCAGCTGCATAAAAGGAAGTCATTACAGCTGGTATACGCCCACCTCTCTTCCCGCCCACTTCTTTTCGAAGGCAAAAAGAAGGCTAAGGGTCAGATTTGATTCTGCAGGGCCAGATGCTCCTTTTTAAATTGTAAATATGCAGTTTTTTTTCTCCCCTGTAACTGCAGTCTCTTCTGATTAGCAGGCTCATGGCCAGGCTTTTCTATTCAGTGTGCACCTGCGGTGTGCCTGCCTCAAGCTGAAGGGAAGACTGCTCTACCCAGAAAAGTTGACTGTGGATGAAGTATTTAACAGGCTTTGTAAGCACTACTAAAAGTAACACTCAGAAAGCCAGTTATAAAGCAATATTTCTTTATAACTGGCTTTGCAGTACTGACAAAGCCAGTTATAATACATTACTCACAGAGCCAGTCATAAAGGAGTTTTGCCTAATAACTGGCTTTGTGAGTAATGCTTAATAACTGGCTTTGTGAATAATGTTTTACAGCTGGCTTTTCAGTAGTCAAAAAGCCAGTTATTTAGCATTACTCACAAAACCAGTTATTAAGCAAAACTTCTTTATGTCTGGCTTTGTGAGTAATGCTTTATAACTGGCTTTGTGAATAATGCTTTACAGCTGGTTTTTCACTAGTCAAAAAGCCAGTTATTTAGCATCACTCACAAAGCCAACTATTAAGCATAACTCCTTTATGTCTGGCTTTGTGAGTAATGCTTTATAACTGGCTTTACAGGACTCACAAAGCCAGTTAATAAGCATTACTCACAGAAGCAGTTACTAAGCATTACTCACAGAGTCAGTTATAAAGGAGGTTTGCTTAATAACTGTCTTTTGTGAGTAATGCTTTATAACTTGCTTTCTAACCACTACCTTAGAAGTTTTATATTTAATTTTTTTTTTTTTGAAAGGATCAAACATACAGACCAACAATACCAACTTATGAGAAATGTATAACTTCTCGAACAATAATCACTTGTGAAGATAAATGACACGGACATTATACAGAAAGATGGGAAAAGTGGACATAGCATATACGTATGGGACCAAATAGTTCCTCTGGTGTAGTCTACAGAAAAGGAGGATAAACCACAACAATAGACAGAAATCTAGTACATAGTACACTATGAAAAACAATTAATCATAAGCATAACCAAGCCATAGTCAGGCACCAATATGTGATGCATCAAAAAGTAATGTTGGAAACAAAAGATATAAAAAAAATAATGAAAAAGAAAATGAGAAAAAGAGCATAGGAGGAAGAGTAAAGTAAATGAGGATCAGCCATGGTCCCAATAAGGGACGGAGAGGTATTGAATCCACGGATCCCAGGTACTGTCGAATTTGACGCATTTTTATTAAGAATGTAGGTGAATTTTTCATTAACCATGATCCAATTCAGTTTATTTATGACGTAATCAAGTGGTATCACTGATTGCTTCCAATATTTATCAATTGTAATTCTTGCAACCAGGATAATGAAAAGAATCAATTTGGTCAATTTCTTGGGGATTCCTGAAGGTAATTTCTGAAAAAGGGCTATCTCCAGGGATCTGTGGATATTCACTCCTGTTACTAACTAAAGTTAAATATTCAGATCCAACAGGACATTGCCACCAAATATGGCACATGGTTCCCTCCCGCCCATAGCGCCAGAATCAGGAAGGCGATTCCTGTGGTAGGGTACATTTTTGTAAGACGTGTAGGGACCAAGTACCATTGTAGAAGTGTTTTATAATTAGATTCTATTAGTGTAGTATTAATAGAAATCTTGGACAAAGCGTAAGCAGTATCCTGCCAATCAGTTAGTACCTTAGAAGTTTCAAAAGGGAACTGCACCTTAGAAAAGGTTTTGGAAAATAGTTACCAAATCCTGTTATAAAGTAGTAGCTTGTGAACCCTGTTCTAATGCAAATGCACAATGCAAATGACAAGGGCTGATTCCTACTGCTGTTTTGGCACTTGTGAGTGGCTAGCTGCATTGCCTTTTGTGTGTTCAGAAGGTGCAGTCCCATCACCAACCACCCCTGTGACCAACCCTACCCGCGCTGTTCCGTCTAAAATGATCGGGCCTTTCCTGGGCAGAGGTAGCAATAAAAACCTGGTGGACCCCTTCTGAGCTGACCCATCCCTTAATTTTCCCTACCCCTTTCTTCCTCACACCCTTTTCTTTTCATTCTTGTGTTTTTTTTTCCTGTTTTCTTTTATTCTGCCCCCTTCTCTCCTAATGTGTATGGGAAGCTGAGGTTGGAGACGACTACTACCAATATGTAATAGTGACTGTCTTACCCAATTGTCACTCTGATAATATCTGCTGTTAATCGCAGTCTTGTTGACCTTGCTGTGTTCAAACGGTCTGTTGTTACCCCTGCAAATAGACAATTCCAGGCTCACTAAGTTTTTTTTATTTTTTTAATGGTTTTGAATTAACCACATTTTGTACATGTTATTGGTTGTATATGTTTTATCTCCTGAATAAACGTATTATGGAACTAAAAACCGAAAAACGGGTTCTCTCTCCACTCTGTCCAAAAAAATGTTTTGCCTTTAGTTATACTTTACAATGTGGAGACTAACTTGTTGGCTCAAAAGTGCCAAATATTAATGTATTTTTGTTTGCCTAAAAAAATATATTTTAAGATGCTTTTCAGTTTTAGTCCTGACCATCTTATGTAGATAGAAATGCTGCACAAAACTATGTATTTCCTTGTAATTACCTTTTGTTCCTCTTTGTTCAGCTTGTGAGTTTGTGATCCCAGCAGATTGGAAATGTAAAATCATCAATGCACATTGCATTATTTTTGTACCTTATGGATATATTGTTCCTAAGGCTCTAAAATATAATGGTTTTATATTTTCATGCCTAAGGGTAGCCTTGTGTGCATTTTATACATAGACACTTCCCAATATTAGGATACCATCCAAGAAAGTCTACAATATGGCCAACACAACTAGACATAAAATATGTCCTGTGGGTTTGAGAAAATGTATGGACTGGAATGCAGAATCCAGTCAATACGTATGTTGAATAAAATGCTAATGTCTTGTTAGCTAAACATATATATTGTATACACATAAAATATATATGTATATTATAGGATTTCCTTATTGTGATGATCATGTTTAGAAAACTGGAAGCTACTATTTGATGTATAAAAAGTGTGCTGTGAGAAAAATACATTGTTTGCCTTGTTTATTTCAGCTTCCAGCTGTCATTTCTGCAGTCCAAGCCTAAAATTAAGCAAGACTCAACTAATTGTTGAAGGCAACAAGAAATGTTTCCTACAGCACACTTGCATTGCATTAGTTTTGAATATACTGTAGATTGTCGTATTATTTGATGATAAGGAAGCTACATTACATATACAGGGTTGTGATATATTTATATGCCTGTTTAGTAGGGCTATACAAGCAGTTTTTATATACTATATCTCATTTCTTCTATTTTAATCTTAGCAGTTGTTGAGCAAGGATACTGACCATACTCCCTGAAATATACAGCCAGCATGTGAAATACAGTCATAAGAATAGTTATGGAAATAAAGAGTAGTAATCATTTAGAAATGTTAGTCACATTAAAAAATACAGTATGGCAAAGGATGGCCACAGAATGATGAAGTTCTAAAAATAAAGAAACGTTAATTTGTTACATCAGGCTACAAACACAATCCTGCAGATAAGTTAATGTATTTCAGCCAAAGTGGTCTTGATTATGACCATGGGCAATTTGGCTGAAATGTGTTACTTTATTTGCAGGACCATGTTTTTAGCCTGATATAACAAATGACATTTTTTTTCACTTTTGGAAACTCATCGTGATACGGACATCTTTTGCTGTACAGTATGGGAGTCAAGTAGACAGAAGCTTTAGCCCTGCACCGTTGTCTTGAAGTGGTTGGGGTGTTGAGATTGAATGCTTAAACTTTTCATCAACTTTTTTGGGTTGACTTAAAGCTCATCTCCAGACATCTAAAAATGACACAAATTAATGTAGCTCATTAATTTATTAATGCATGTATTTTTTAATTGCAAGCCGTGTAATTACCTGAATTTGACCTGGTACTTGCATCTTGCTGTCCCTGTACATCAGAGCTCAAATTGGGGAGGAAGAAGCAGCACAAAGAGCCGATAAGTTGTGCTCCAGTACAAGAAGCTTGCTGATAGAAGGGGAGAGAGCAGATTGACAGAGAGATGGTTTTATCAGTTTGCTGCTTCTGTTTTCCTGTCAAATCACATGTTAGATCTAAGACAAGACCTGTAAGTGCTACTGAACTGCAGCAGACAAAAATCAGGTCTTCTGTCCTGCCAGACAGGGCTGTGTGGAATGGCAGAGCTGTGTAAATGTTTGAACTGTATGGACAGAAATACAAAACCTTTGTCAGGTAAAACAGCACCCGTATATGGATTTAATTTGTGTATTTAGTTGTTTGCCTGACGTTCAGCTTTAAAATACACAATCAACTACATTGTATTTTTGTAAACAGTAGGGTTTGCATGCAATTCTAACATTCAGTCTGCTTTCAGTGATCAAATACTCAGCTATAATCTTGGTAGAAGACTCCCAACCGATCATGTCAGCGGATATTTACAGTTCAAAGTTGAAATTGTGTCATCAGTTCATGATGGTAAGAAAACATCAGGTGATAAAAAGACAATGGTAACTTCAGTTTAATGGTCACAAGACATTAGCATACTGTAATATGGGCTGAGATGAAAGTGTTACATTCACCAATGCATGGTATTTAGCACATTTATTTTAAACTGGAGGTTTTCATGTACAGGTTTATTTAACACGTGCTAATTTTGCATTATTACTGCTTTTTGTGGTATTTGTAAAAGGCACTTGAAGAACATGCCACCTTTCACTGAAAGAAAAATTAAGCCATTTAGTATTTGCTATTCAGAACATTTTCTTGATAATGTTTATTTTTGTGAATTAAACACCTAAATAGACAAAAAATAATTGCACGCAAAAGAATTATGATGGATAATTGTGCAATATTTGGGAATGTCAATTTAAGTTTTGATGAGAATTATGTTAAATAAAGCAACACAGTAAAAGATAAATGAATATGAAGTGGTGCTGCGCTACTTATTTTAAAGTGAATGAACAATCAGCATGAAAAAACTCATAAATATTGTGCAAAGTGGACAACCTATATACAATGCTAAACCGAGTGTAGAAGGAACAATAAGTGTACCAAATAACAACAAGAAATGTGACAGAAAAAAATATATATATATAAAAATAGTCAATGCGCTAAAATCATCAAGTGAAAAAGTGATCAGTAGATAAATAAATACATGAAATATTAAATAAATTGTGACAAATAATGTTAAATGGCAAAAAATGTGACACAGAAAATGAGTAGATATATGAGAATAAATAGTCCCAAAAGCACAACAGACAGGGAATCTTCAGCACAAGCCGTGAGACATCAGTGACCACAACAAACAGGTAATCTTTCACCAGCTAACGTGCGCGCTCGCCTTCCAACTGCGACCCGCAAGGGGTCAAAAGGCATATACACAGACCGATCATCTCAGACCAGATGAATCTCAGTAGTAAATAAACTGAGGACTCCTCTCCATGGCAAATACATCCACCAGTACCATAGATGTCCTTACAAGTGTGTGACTTTAGATTTCCTTCTCCAATATCCTCACATGTAAGGATCAAAAAAGCTCCCATAGTGTAGTAAGTTAAAAAAGACTTTATTAAAAAGACACAAGAAACTACTCACGTGAAAAACAGGTCTGCAGACCCATACAGGCAATCACTGTAGCAAACAGTACAGGGTGTATGAGGTTGGGAGTACCAAGATGGTGGCTGCCGTCCATACCGGAAATGACATCACGCTTCCGTCCTATGCATTACGTTACGAATCACTAATGTTTTTCACATGCGAGTAGTTTTTTTGTGTCTTTTTAATACAGTCTTTTTTAACTTACTACACTATGGAAGCTTTTTTAGATCCTTTAATGTGAGGATATTGGAGGAGAAGATCTAAGGCAGGGGTCCTCAAACTTTTTAAACAGGGGGCCAGTTCACTGTCCCTTAGACCGTTGGAGGGCCGGACTATAGTTTAAAAAAAAAAAACTATGAACAACTGCGGACACAGTACAGGAGATGACCAGAGACTGTGGACACAGTACAGGAGATGACCAGAGACTGCGCACATAGTACAAGAGATGACCAGAGACTGCGGACACAGTACAGGAGATGACCAGAGACTGCGGACACAGTGCAGGAGATGACCAGAGACTGCGGACACAGTGCAGGAGATGACCAGAGACTGCGGACACAGTACAGGAGATGACCAGAGACTGCGGACACAGTACAGGAGATGACCAGAGACTGCGGACACAGTACAGGAGATGACCAGAGACTGCGGACACAGTACAGGAGATGACCAGAGACTGCGGACATACAACGGCACGGGAATACTGGGCCGGCCGCTCCATAAGACGCACAGACATTTCCCCCCCCCAAGTGTGTCTTATGGAGCGAAATAGTGCCCCATCATTGGTGTCAGTGGGAGGAATAGTGCCCCATCATTGGTGTCAGTGGGAAGAATCGTGCCCCATCATTGGTGTCAGTGAGAAGAGACGTGCCCCATCATTGGTGTCAGTGGGAGGAATAGTGCCCCATCATTGGTGTCAGTGGGAAGAAACGTGCCCCATCATTGGTGTCAGTGAGAAGAGACGTGCCCCATCATTGGTGTCAGTGGGAGGAATAGTGCCCCATCATTGGTGTCAGTGGGAAGAATCGTGCCGCATCATTGGTGTCAGTGGGAAGAATAGTGCCCCATCATTAGTGTCAGTGGGGGGAGGAATAGTGCCCCATTGTTGGTGTCAGGGGGGGTGGATAGTGCCCCATCATTAGTGTCAGTGGGAGGAATAGTGCCCCATCATTGTGTCAGTGGGAAGAAACGTGCCCCATCATTGGTGTCAGTGAGAAGAGACGTGCCCCATCATTGGTGTCAGTGGGAGGAATAGTGCCACATCATCATGGTGTCAGTGGGAAGAATCGTGCCGCATCATTGGTGTCAGTGGGAAGAATAGTGCCCCATCATTAGTGTCAGTAGGGGGAGGAATAGTGCCCCATTGTTGGTGTCAGGGGGGGTGGAATAGTGCCCCATCATTGGTGTCAGTGGGAGGAATAGTGCCCCATCATTGGTGTCAGTGGGAAGAATAGTGCCCCATCATTAGTGTCAGTGGGGGGAGGAATAGTGCCCCATTGTTGGTGTCAGGGGGGGGGTGGAATAGTGCCCCATCATTAGTGTCAGTGGGAGGAATAGTGCCCCATCATTGGTGTCAGTGGGAAGAAACGTGCCCCATCATTGGTGTCAGTGAGAAGAGACGTGCCCCATCATTGGTGTCAGTGGGAGGAATAGTGCCCCATCATTGGTATCAGTGGAAAGAATCGTGCCGCATGATTGGTGTCAGTGGGAAGAATAGTGCCCCATCATTAGTGTCAGTGGGGGGAGGAATAGTGCCCCATTGTTGGTGTCAGGGGGGGTGGAATAGTGCCCCATCATTGGTGTCAGTGGGAGGAATAGTGCCCCATCATTGGTGTCAGTGGGAAGAATAGTGCCCCATCATTAGTGTCAGTGGGGGGAGGAATAGTGCCCCATTGTTGGTGTCAGTGGGGGGGTGGAATAGTGCCCCATCGTTGGTGTCAGTGTGGGGGGCAGGGGAATAGTGCCCCGTCATTGGTGTCAGTGGGGGAAGGGGATAGTGTCCCAACATTGGTGTCAGTGGGAGGAATAGTGTCCCATCATTGGTGTCAGTGGGAAGAATCGTGCCCCATCATTGGTGTCAGTGGGAGGAATAGTGCCCCATCATTGGTGTCAGTGGGAAGAATAGTGCCCCATCATTAGTGTCAGTGGGGGGAGGAATAGTGCCCCATTGTTGGTGTCAGTGTGTGGGGGGGGAATAGTGCCCCAACATTGGTGTCAGTGGGAGGAATAGTGTCCCATCATTGGTGTCAGTGGGAAGAATAGTGCCCCATCTTTGGTGTCAGTGGGGGGGAATAATGTCCCATCATTGGTGTCAATGGGGGGGGGGATAGTGTCCCAACTTTGGTGTCAGTGGGAGGAATAGTACCCCATCATTGGTGTCAGTTGGGGAAGGAATAGTGTTCCCTCGTTGGTGTCAGTGGGGGGTGAAATAGTGCCCCATCGTTGGTGTCAGTGGGGAGAGGAATAGTTCCCCATCATTGGTGTCAGTGGGGGGAGGAATAGTGCCCCATCATTGGTGTCAGTGGGAGGAATAATGCCCCATCATTATTATCAGTGACACCAACGATGGGGCACTATTCCTCCCACTGACACCAATGACACTTAACTTGCTGACCCCTGTTCCAGCATGGTGCTGCTGCAGCCAGCATGCCTGGTTGCAGCAGCACCATCTGCACGGCACACTTACCTGTCAGCTGTCCTTCTTCACTCCGGCCTCTCCCTCACTCGATGTTCACGGGGCCACTCGGCTCCGCCTCCTCGCCGGTGATTGGCCACCTGTGTGCCTTTCCTGAGCTACAGTTCTGGCGCCCAATCACCAGTGAGGAGGCGGAGCCAAGCGGCAGCGCGAACATCGAGTGAGGGAGTGGCCGGAGTGAATGAAGGAGCAGCGCTTCCTGGACTGGATCTTCGTGGGACTGGGAGACGGAGCCAGGTAAGATACAGCAGCCCCCTGCCCGCCCCTGTACTTTGTGTCCCTTCCTCGCGGCAAATACGCCCCTGCCGGTGGGCTGGATAAATGTCCTCGGTGGCCCGCAGACTGTAGTTTGAGGACCCCTGATCTAAGGTCACACACTTGTAGGGACATCTGTGGTACTTGTGGTGGTTTATGGAAGGATTTATTCTACTTATTAAAGGGCGTGTCCCTTTCCCTTAGATGAAATATTACAGTGCCTCCAGCCGTTAAAATACGGCAAATATTTAGTAAACCAATAATTTGGACACCTTGATAATTTGATCACCACTTATTATTATACCTTGAATTCTTTTAGCCAGTATGATTTCGTACCATACACACAAAATTTGCCTTATAATAGATAAATATAAAAATGTATTTATGTACAAAAATTATATATATATTAACACAAAATGCAAAAGACTGGTGATAAATGAATATTGATACACACGTTCAAAGATATACTATGCCGATATAATACACAATAATAATGTTTCTAAATAATGAAATCAATATAACAATTTCTAGATGATACTGATTAAAAATTAAATTTATTAATAACTAATAATTTTGAGTATCTCAAAGGTTATTTTCTCTCATTACGTGGCCATAGCAATGGAAGAAGATATTCTCTGATAAATTATACTCTGATTATTAATATTTAATAAATTATGAAATATGAAAAATTTGTAATATGACACCAAACAATTTTAACAGTAATACAGGATCTCTCTACATATATATAACTACCCAATATAGTTGTGATACACTAAGGTAATTCTATGACTCTACACAACAGAGAAAATAGGCAATGCAAAATTAAATGGACAATCTCACCACACCCGGAATTCAGACTATGAAACTCTCCCGTGGATTCAGCTGGCAATGGAACGCCTTTAGAATGATGTCACAGGGCAAGTGATAGATATTTAGTATGGGAGAATGTAGGAAGTTAGAAGTACAGAGATTTAGAAATTTAGTAAAGTTTTGGAAGTTTGAAAGGATGGAAGAGGGGTTATTCACCAGAGAGGTCTCTTCAAATGTCTTCAGATGTTCTTCTAATGAGGGTTTTTTTTCTTCAGTCAGGTTTTTTCTTTTGATGAGTTTTTTTTTTCTAAAGGTGCATGGGATTTTATACCAACTAACCCATTGTTCTAAGATACCCTCCCACCAGGCTTCTTGATTGGCTAGTTGAGAAATATATGTACATAAGCTATTTCTCACCTATCCGCCAGGTGGCGGTCTTGTACCATAGAACAATTTGAGTATTGATGATGACTCATACCTCGGGTGGAACTCAATGTAATTTTAGGTATTAAATATACGTCTTATCCAGATATATAGTTGATCATAGCTATAATGTTCTAAATAAGAACCATGGAATATATGTGTATATTCAGTTATTCTTGTCCCTGAGATACAAGCTTGTGTGAAAGCATCTGTTTCCTGATAAGACATACAACTGATGCTAACTCACAATATATCTTACTTTCCATCATCTCAATACTCAAGTTAGTGATATACAATTCCCATTGCTGAATATTTGGTGGTGTGTGAAACATATTCTTTATAACATCTATAGATACTATGCTTTTGTAGTAATATCTTTGTGGTTAGATACATTCAATTCTTGGTCTTAAATGACCTGAATTTAACTTTTAGTCTTAAAAGTGACACATTAACCGATGTTTGTCCATTGTAAAGATGAGAGGCAATAACCAGGTGTCCTTGTAGTTTGAACAGACCATTTGAAAAGACTGATATCTCACCAGTCTCCTCAAGGGTTGTTTACTCTTCTCAAACGTTACTATAGTTTCACTTGTTGGTGTGGTGATTCAACATTTGAAGGTTTAAAGTCTTATTTGGCTGTCTATTTAACTTTTGTATATGCAGTCCTCCCGACCCCAATATACAAATAGTATTTGTGGACAGTTCAAACAGTCTTATTGTCTTGGAAAAACCTCACTTCACTCATTATAGACATTTCTTTAGCTTGGGGTCCTTCGATTTTTCAACCAAGACAAGTTAACCCTTAACATCCGGCTATGCTGAGTTGCTGTCATATAGGATTATGTCTTGATAAAATCATGTTTTTGAGATGTAATTTCAAAAGGTCCACAACATACTGCTGCATGTACTTGCCATGGAGAGGAGTCCTCGGTTTATTTACTACTGAGATTCATCTGGTCTGAGATGATCGGTCTGTGTATATGCCCTTTGACCCCTTGCGGGTCACAGTTGGAAGGTGAGCGCAGATGCTAGCTGGTGAAGGATTGCCTGTTTGTTGTGGTCACTGATGTCTCACGGCTTGTGCTGAAGATTCACTGTCTGTTGTGCTTTTGGGACAATTTGTTCTCATTTATCTACTAATTTTTTGTGTCACATTCTTGCCATTTGACATTATTTGTCACAATTTATTCAATTTTTCATGTATTTATTTATCTACTGATCACTTTTTCACTTGATGAATTTTGGGCATTCACTATTTATATTTATATATATTTTTTCGGTCACATTTCTTGTTGTTATTTGGTACACTTATTGTTCCTTCTACACTCGGTTTAGCATTGACTATATGGGTTGTCCCCTTTTCAAAATATTTATGATTTTTTGCATGCTGATTGTTCATTCACTTTATATTAAGTAGCGTAGCACCACTTCATATTAATTTATTTGTTTCACTATTTGATTATAGTTAGGTGTTTGCAGACACTAGGTGGGGTTTTGTTTCATCTGGCAGTGCAGGAGGTTTATCTCCCCCCCTTTTTTTTTCAGAATAAAAGATAACTTCACCTTTCTCAACATGTTACACCCGTATTTAGGGTGGAACATGTTGAGCATCCACCAGCTCATCCCCTCAAACCGCCCCCCTCCTTGTAACAGCAGGTGGGGGACCTTCTCCCCACACCTGCTGTAACAATATGAAAGCAACACGGCCGTGTGCGGATCCGCTCACATGGCTGCGTCATTCATTCATAGAGTTCTGTGAATTAATGCCTACAAGTACCGTCAGCCATTGCGGCCAAAGGCTTGTAGACTTTTCAATGAGCAGTGAGGGTACTGTTGAGTGCTCTCATAGTCCATTGAGCTTCTTGGAATTCAGTAACTCTTTTCCCATGTCAGAGGTATGGGCAGACTGTGAACTGACAGTCTGCAAGATGACATTGCACTCGCAATCTGTAGATTGTGAGTGCAATGCTTTACGGACAGAAAAAAAAAATAATTGCACATTTTAATACCTGCAAAAAATATGTATTTAATTTATTTTTTTAAAGGTGAACTTATCCTTTAAAATTGCTAGTGAATTTACACATATAGGGCAAGAAATTGTGGGCACCTTTTAGTAGGTCAGGCTACAAAATTGCTAGTGATTAAAATGAACCTGTCACTAGGAAACACAAACTGAAAGAGAAACACCTTGTAAAAGAATCTTACTGATCTTCCTCATTCTTACCTTTCCAAAGAGTGTTGATTTCCATCTTAATTCTTTTGCAGTGTTATGGTTGCTGCTGGAATATGACACTTCCTGGGTTGTCCGATGCCTGTTCCCCAACTATGCACTGTGGTTCCTCCCTTCTTTGTGTCACTTCTTAGTCCTGTAGTGATGTAGGGACCTGCAGGAGGAACTGATGTGCACAGCAGAGGATGTGCTGTCCTACACACCTGAAATTTCTGAATAACATTGGCGACCTTAGCTATGGATGAGTTCAGAGCTGCCCCTCCACAGGAAGTGTAGGGATGAATAGTCTTTTCCAAGGTTCTTTTTTTTCAGTATGAGTTTCTTAGTGACAGGGTCACTTTAAGTGTGACTATTAAACAGATGAAACAAATGGCCCTCTATGGTATGCACAACAAAAGTAGTATGTAATAATTATTTCATCACTCCCATTTGGAGTATTGTGCCATCATGTGTGACTAGTCATTAGTACATGCTACTTGTATAGCTCACCATAGAGTGTAATTTGTTACATCTGTGTATTGACCAATTGCTACTCTTATGCTGGCCATACACAGTTTGAAAATCGTTCAAAAAAGCTTTCGATGCGCTCAGTTGTTTGACTTTCGAAACGTTAGTGGGCTAATTACGATTATTGAAATGCAAAGTTTTATAGCAGAAAAATGAACCGTCTTGTCAGATTTTTTTTTGAGCTTAAAGGATCAACTTCTAAACAATAGTAGTGTGAAATCAGTCCAAAAAAGGGCTCAAAAAAATCTACAACGCATGCTGCAAACGAAAGTCCATCAATAGGAAACAAAATTAAAGATCTTTCTTGCTGCCGACTTTTCATTCATATAGAGAAATATTGCAAATATAGACCAGTGTGACTTCTAATGTGCTTTTCCCAAAAAAAACCCCCAAAAAAAAAAAAACCCAACAGGGTATGTAAGCTTTGGATACCTTAAAGCGGAGCTCCACCCAAAATGGGAAGTTCAGCTTTAAGTACTGGTCCCCTGCTCCCCGTGAGGAATTGGCACTTTTGGGAAGCGGTTACCTGATTTTGACCGGAAGTGGAAGTTGTCCTCCCCTGCTCCCTCCCTGTAGTCTTCTGGGACAAGTGACAGGTTCTAGAAGACTATGGGACCATTCACAAGACGCAGCGCTACTCGCTCATGCACAGTGGGCATGCGGCTGTGAAACCTCAAGCTGTCACAGCTGGGTGCCCACACTTAACATGCAGGTGCCCGGGAGCGAGGATGGTTGGTGAAACTAGCTGTGGTGAGCACACCGCTGGATCGTGGGACAGGTGAGTAGTTTTTTTTTTATAAGTCAGCAGCTACAGTTTTTGTAGCTGCTGACTTTTATTTTTTTTTTAGCTTTGACTGGAGCTCCATTTTAGTGTTTTTTGTTTTGTCCTATATACCAATATATGCTTGAATGTATCAGGAGATTGATTTGTCTTCCTCCCTTGCCACTTGTTTTCATGATGTCTTTTGTATTTCTTTGAAATACATAAAGTAACACTAAAGTCTTGTTTTTTTGGGGGGGGGGGGGTTTCTAATAACAAACATGTCATACTTCCCTTCTCTGTGCAGTTGTTTTGCACAGAGTAACCCAGATCCTCCTGTTCTCAGGTCCACTGCCAGCACTCCTGGCTCCTCCCTCCTTTCGAGTGCCCCCAGAGCAAGCAGCTTGCTATGGGGACACCCAAGCAGGCACACTCCCGAGCTGCAGCTCTGTGTGTTTATTCACACACACACAGCCGCGGCTCGGCCCCGTCCCCTCCCTCTTCTGACTGGCTCACTGGCTGTGATTGACCTCAGCCAATCAAGAGTGAGAGTCCCCAGAGAACTAAGGCCCTCGTGGACATCGCTGGATCGGGATGGGGCTCAAGTAAGTGTTGGGGGGGGGGGGCTGCTACACACAGAAGGTTTTTTACCTTAATGCATAGAATGCATGAAGATTAAAAAAAAAAAACCGTCAGCCTTTACAACCACTTTAATATTAATGGAAATCTTTGGAAATTAAAAATATTATTGTTGCCATATTGGAAGAATAGATTTAAAAATGTGTAGAAACACAAGGATGCTGGTAACCATATATGTATATTGTGGCCCCAGTTCATGCTGTTATGGATTGTTAATATGTCGATAATTGGGCGGCAAATATCGACCAAATAATGGTGTTATCGCATGCACATTCGACAGATATTTATAAATCCATCCTTTTTTTTCTGAACTATTATCTAACCGTGTATGGCCAGCATTAGCATATAATCACTAGTGATTTTAGTAGCATGATAGAACTACTAAAATGCTGGTGTGTTCCTGCACATTGGTTTATTTGTTTTTTTTAATAGAAAGATATATTTAACCATATACTGTTTTTATTATTACTAATGAATGGTATCCTTATTCATATACAGATGCTTCTCCAGAGGCAGTGGGCACAATGCTTGCGGCAAGTAACATAAATGGAGACCTTGGTACACCTTCTGATGATGAAGAGATGCCTGCTGGTCAAGATGTGCATTCTACATGTTCCAATGGCCCAGTTCTTGCAGAAACCTTTTTAGATGGATTAAGATGCGGCAGTTCTGCTGAGACAGACTGTGAAGAGGCAGCTAGTACTTCAAGGATATCTCCCATCCGTAGTCGCCAGGATTCACTCAATGACTACCTTGATTCCCTTGAACATAGCAACAGTGCCAAAAGCAGTGCTGCTACATCTGTCCCCTGCGATCGATCATTAGGCGCATCACCAAAGCTAAGAAGCAGCTTTCCTACTGACACAAGACTTAATGCCATGCTTCACATTGATTCAGATGAAGAAGATCATGAATTTCGGCAGGAATTGCTATGTAATTCCCCCCTCCTGGATGAAGGTGGCCTTGTTTTACATTGTGGTACTAATAAAAAAAAAGATAATTGTTTGGGTTCAGAAGCAAATCGAGTGGAAAGTGGAAACTGTGATAATGCACAACTGAATTTACAAACTTCTGATATCAGTGGAAGTAACATGCAGGCCATTAGTTTAGACCTTCCAGCTGGAGGAACAGCTGATCAGGAGGATGAAATTACTGTGGCAGTTAATGTTGATGTGGAGGGTGCATCATGTATTGCCATGGAAACACAGGCATCCTCAGCTGTAAGCTCTGAGAGACAGGAGGGGATCCCAAACAGGGAAAGTAATGTGGATACAAATTCTACTGACTCAATGATGGGTACATCTTCTCAGGTATTGTCTGAAATGGGTGCAAGCAGCTCGTTACATACGCAGACTTCATGTGAAGGCAGTAGAGTTGCAGAGGAAGGGGCAAGTAAAAATAATAATGGTACACTTTTTAATTGTAATGCTACTTCTAGCAGTTTTACACACAATGCCTGTTCTTCATCTTTAGAAAGTACAGAAATCGCTGGGTTTTCCCAAAAAGACAAAGGATGTGGGGCCTTTGAATTTGAATCTGAGTGTTCTGGTGGTTTAGAAGTACAGGCTTCTCTATGCAATCCTTGTTCTCTTCCAATTGTAAACATCAGCCGAAATAGAGATGGAGATCAAGAATTACAGAATGAAGTAGAAGGGACAGAGGAAATTTGGCAGAGAAGGAACATGCAAACAGTTTCAACCAGTGGTCAGCCGACTCAGGATGAAGAGACTGGTAGCGCGCAGGCAGCATGCAGAAGTATGATACAGTCAAGTGTACAAAGTGAAGGTGCCTCATCAGGTACTTAGTTTTAATGCATGTTTTTCTATGTAGCCTTATATGTAAGCCAAAAGTAGTTCACAATAATCTACAGGCTTATTTTAATAAAGCAGTGGAAAGAATAATGATAGTGTGCAAAGTTTAGTGACCCACAGTAGCAATCACATTTCTGTACTGGAGTTACAATAGCTTAGTGTACTGATAGCCATGGGATGATTTGGACAGTCTTATGTCTGTAGAGGTCCAAGGCCCTTGAGCCCTGACCAGCTTCCCTTCCCTGTTCAGCTACTCTCCCCTGTACAATCCATTCTAAAGACTTCTTGTGAGAACTTGTCCAAGCATGGTGCCACATTTGAAAGTTCTCTGATGTGTATAGGCAGCTTATATACCATATAGCCAAAGGTTTGTAGACATCTGATCATCACACCCATATGAGCTTGTTTGACCTCCCTTTTCAAAACCATGGGCATGAATATGAAGTTGGCCATCGTTTGTGGCTAAAGCACCCTCCACTCTTCTGGGAATGCTTTACATAAGATTTCAATGTGTCTGTGGGAATATGTGCCCATTTAGCCAATAAGAGCATTTGTGAGTTCAGGTACTGATGCCAGACAAGAAGACCTGGCTTGCAGTGAGCGTTCTTATTCACCCTATTAAGGTTTAATAGGGTTGAGTTTAAAGCAGTAATAAACCCAAAAGCAAACATTTATTACAGTACAGCTTACCAATTTTTAGATGTGATGGCTGAATTAGTTTCCTTTTTTTTACTTTCTTTATTCTATTTTCATTTGGTGATTCAGCCAGCAACTCTGCTGTTTTTCAGAAGTTCAAGCTCTAGAATATAGCAGCTTACATGCATGAGACTATCCATTTACTACTGACAGAGGTGATTGAACTGATCAGATTTCATTTATTCATGTAAAACTTTTAACCCAAAAGGAAACAAATGTTTTCTGTAACTGCTTATAAAGTGTTAGCTGGAGTTTGACTTCAATTTGTTATTTGTATTCAAATCTGATAATACATTTAATACTCCCATCCCTAGACTGACAATGCTTATGGTATCCTGGCTCATTCCTCCAAAGTGGTGTCTTGCTAATACAGAAGGTGTGTTACTGGCCAGATCACCAGGTAAAAAAAAAGGGAAAAAAAGCCAAAGAAAAGAAAACTGATGCAGCCACCACATCTAATGATTGGTAAGCTGCAATATAATACATTTTTGGTTTTGGGTTTAAAGTGGTTCAAAAGGTTGAAGCATGACGCTAAAAAAAAAGGTTGAGTTCTATGCATGAAGCTAAAAAACCTTTAATGTACAGCTTCCCCCACAGCTCCCCTAATACTTACCCGAGCCTGATCTTGGTCCAGTGATGTGCACAAAAGCCTCGGGTCTCCCAGGTTTCTCCATCCCCATTGGTTGAGACATAGCAGGGGGAGCCATTGGCTCCCTCTGTTGACAATCACAGCCAGTGAGGAGGGAGCAGATAGACATAGAGGGACGGCTTTGGAGCAAGCATGCACGAGTGCCCCCAGGGCAAGCAGCTTACTCTGGGTGCACTTGGCAAGGGGAAGAGGCCAGAAGCGCAGTGGGGGGACCCGAGAAGTGGAGTCTTAGGGCTGCTGTGTGCAAAACCATTGCACAGAGCAGGTGAATATGATGTGTTTATTATCTGAAATATAAAAAAAGCCTTTAATATTACTTTAATACCACTTTAAGGCTGTATGTAGGCCACTTGAGTTCTTCCACATTAAATTCCTCAAACAATGTTTTTATGTTCCTGGCTATGCAAAAAGGGTTACAGTCATGCTTAAGCCGAATAGGGGCCTTATCCAAACTCTTATCACAAGATTGGAAGCACACAGTTGTTTTAAATGTCTTTCTATGTTGTAGCATTTGCAGAATTTTTTGCTGGAAATGCCTAAACTCAGTCATTTGGAGGGGTATCCACATACTTTTTGCCAAATTATTTGTATTAATATGAGCTACTGTTATTTCCAGATGAACATTACTGTTTATACTGCTTTATTAAATACATAAGAAAAAAAAATATCTTAAAGTGGTACTAAACCCAAAATGTAATATTTTGCAGCTTATCAGTTCTTAGATGTGATGGTTGCATCAACTTTCATTTCCTTAATTTTACCTTGGTGGTCCAGCCAGTAAATCTGTTACTTCTCAACTTTAACAGACCAAGCTGTCCATCAAAGGTGGCAGTTAGAGGGTTAAGACAAAACTTTTTTAACACTGACTGAATGAAATTGGCTTAGAATGGTCACCTTTTATACTTTTATGCAAATTTTTTTTCCCCAAAAGAATAAAAAAGTTGTAACTGCCAAAAAGCTACTACTGCTGTCCCCACAGGTTGACAGTGCCATTTTCCAAGGCTGTCTCCCCATGCCCCTCCATAGAGTGGAGCCACCCCAGGACAGGAAGTGTGTTACTGGCCAGATTATTAGGTTAGGATAAAGGAAAAAAGAAAGCTAATTCAGGGAGTAGTAAGCCGCAATATATTAATTTTTGTTTTTGGGTTTATCACTGCTTTAAGTTTAACAATTATACAGTCATGGCCGAAATTGTTGGCACCCTTGATATTTCTCCAGGAAAATCGTGTATTTCTCACGAAACGTATTGCATTTAACACATGTTTTGCTATACACATGTTTATTCCCTTTGTGTGTATTGGGACAAAACAAAAAAAGGGAGGAAAGAAAGCAAATTCGACATAATGTCACACAAACCTCCAAAAATGGGCTGGACAAAAGTATTGGCACCCTTTCACAACTGCGGATAAATAAGAATGTTACAAGCATGTGATGCTCCTGTAAACTCACCTGGGGCAAGTAACAGGTGTGGGCAATATAGAAATCACACCTGAAAGCAGATAAAAAGGAGAGACGTTCACTTAACCTTTGCATTGTGTGTCTGTCTGTGCCACACTAAGCATGGACAACAGAAAGAGGAGACGAGAACTGTCTGAGGACCTGAGAACCAAAATTGTGGCAAAATATCAACAATCTCAAGGTTAACAAGTCCATCTCCAGAGAACTAGATTTGCCTTTGTCCACAGTGCGCAACATTATCAAGAAGTTTGCAACCCATGGCACTGTAGCTAATCTCCCTGGTCGTGGACGGATGAGGAAAATTGATGAAAGATTGCAACGCAGAATAGTCCGGATGGTGGATAAGCAGCCCCAAACATGTTCCAAAGACATTCAAGCTGTCCTGCAGGCTCAGGGGGAGCATCAGTGTCAGCGCGAACTATCCGTCGACATTTAAATGAAATGAAACGCTATGGCAGGAGACCCAGGAGGACCCCACTGCTGACACAGAGACATAAAAAAGCAAGACTACAGTTTGCCAAAATGTACTTGAGTAAGCCAAAAGCCTTCTGGGAAAACGTCTTGTGGACAGATGAGACCAAGATAGAGCTTTTCGGTAAAGCACATCATTCTACTACTGTTTACCGAAAACGGAATGAGGCCTACAAAGAACAAAACACAGTACCTACGGTAAAATATGGTGGAGGTTCAATGATGTTTTGGGGTTGTTTTGCTGCCTCTGGCACTGGGTGCCTTGACTGTGTGCAAGGCATCATGAAATCTGAGGATTACCAAAGGATTTTGGGTCGCACTGTAGGGCCCAGTGTCAGAAAGCTGGGTTTGCGTCCAAGATCCTGGGTCTTCCAGCAGGACAATGACCCCAAACATACGTCAAAAAGCACTCAGAAATGGATGGCAAAGAAGCGCTGGAGAGTTCTGAAGTGGCCAGCAATGAGCCCAGATCTAAATCCCATTGAACACCTGTGGAGAGATCTTAAAATTGCTGTTGGGAAAAGGTTTGTCCTTCCAATAAGAGAGACCTGGAGCTGTTTGCAAAGGAAGAGTGGTCCAAAATTCCGGGTGAGAGGTGTCAGAAGCTTATTGATGGTTTTAGGAAGCGACTGATTTCAGTTATGTTTTCCAAAGGGTGTGCAACCAAATATTAAGTTAAGGGTGCCAATACTTTTGTCCAGCCCATTTTTGGGGTTTTGTGTGACATTATGTCATATTTGCTTTTCTGCCTCTGTTTTATATTTGTTCCAATACATACAAAGGGAATAAACATGTGTATAGCAAAACATGTGTTAATGCAATACCTTTTTTGTGTGAAATACTTGATTTTCAGGAAAAATATCAAGGGTGCCAACAATTTCGGCCATGACTGTATGTAGCCAGCATTGAATTTATTGTAAATTCCAACCTTTGATTTTACTTTTGGATAGGAGCATGGAAGGATTTGATTCTCAGCCTGTTTTTTTAGGCAGACCCTTTATTTTTCTTGAGTTTTGTCACTGAGACGTAAAGTGAAGTTAAATCCAAAATTTTAGAGTTGTCACAGAACAAAAGGAGACAGCTAATCATTTAGTGGGACAAGTGTTCCAGTGATAACCCTATAACATATGAGTAATCCTTGCTCGGGGGAGATCTCTCATTACCTGTTATGTATGCAGGACAGAATGTGATGGGACACAGGCAGAAAAAAACTTGATAGGAGTTTTAACTCTTCCTCATTCAATGGAAAGCAAAAAAGGTTTGGCTGTATATACACTTTAAATTCATCTTGTGACAATGCCTTTAATGTCATTGTTCAAAAACCAATGAGATGCAGTAACTGAATGCAACCAGTAAAGTTACAGTTTACTGTGTACATATCTGAGTGGTTGCTGTAGATTACTATACACCATTTATCTCTGATTTTTGTGCATCAAACATAATTTTAATGTATATGGCATGTAGAATGTGCCATATGTGTTAAAGCTGAACTCCAGGAACTATTTCTATTGCATACTTACATTGGTTCGGCTTGGCATAATGTAAGTATGTCTTATACCTGATACCAGTATACTCATACCTGATAAACTGCTGGGAAAAGTTGAAATCACTGTAGTAGTTAGCTCTACTACAGTGATAGTTGCAATCACCCAGGTCCTGACCAGGATCTATGCAAGCAGTTGCCTCACAGCACAGTGATCATAGGGGGTTGCTCACTTGACACCACTGCCATTCATAGAATACCCTATGTTTTTATTTTTCAGTGAATACAGGGTATTGTTCAATTACAGAACACTTCATATTCATTGAGCAAAATACAAGGTGTCCTGTGAATGGTGTCAAGTGAGCAAATCTCAGTTAATAGAACGTGAGTATAAAAATTGCAGCTTTCACCTTAGCAGCCCTGACTACTATAGTGATTTTAAGCTTTCCCAGTGGGCCATCAGGCAATTATAATGCATACTTACATTGTGCCAAGCTGGACCAATGTAAGTATGCAGTACAAGTATCAGTTTTAAATATAGTTAGGTCCATAAATACTTGGACACAGGCACAATTTTATTTTTTTTCAGGTATTTACCAAAACATATTCAAGCTATAGTTATATAATGGATATGGTCTGAAATTGCACACTCAGGTTTTTTTCACTGAATACAGGGCATTGTATGGCCCACCTCCTGGAGAGTGTCCTTCACTTGTCTGAATGTTGTGAATGGGTTTTTCTTTACCATAGATGGGATCCTGCGATCATCCACCACTGTTGTCTTCTGTGGGCGTCCATGCCTTTTTATGTTGCTGAGCTCACCAGTGCGTTCTTCTTTCCTCAGAATGTACCAAACTGTTGATTTGGCCACTCCTAATGTTGCTGCTATGTCTCTGATGGATTTCTTTCGTTTTTGAAGCCTTGCAATGGCCTGTTTCACTTGCATGGATAGCTCCTTTGAACGCATGATGCAAGTTCACAGCAATAGATTCCAAATACAAATGCCACACTTAGCATCAACTCCAGACCTTTTACCTGCTTAATTGATGAATAAATAAAGAAGGGAGTAGCCCACTCCTGGCCATGAAACCGCTTTTGATTCAATTGTCCAGTTACTTTTGGTCCCTGGAAAAAAGGGGGGATGGCTAATCTTAAGAGCTGTAATTCCTAAACCCTCCCTCCAATTTGGATGTACATACCCTAAAATTAAACCTGAGAGTGTGCACTTTCAGCCCATATCCATTTCTATTACTATAGCTTGAATATGTTTTGGTAAATACCTGAAAAATCTAAAATTGTGCTTGTGTCCAAATATATATATGGACCTAACTGTATATCACTGTGATGAGTCTTTTGGTTTATGTCATTGAGTATGAGTTGTCTTTTGTACTACACTTATTGTTGAATTGTACAAGCTTAGATTAGCCATAGACATATCCATGGTAAATGTACAGTCTTGATTTTTCTAGAACACATTTAGTAAACAGAAAGTTATAAAAGATAAACAATCACCTCAACAATCTTTTCTTAAGTCTAAGTATGGGCAAACGGCAAAATACAACATGTTAAAGCTAAACTCTGAGGTAAGCAATTATTGTCATAAATACAAGAGACGTGTATTCATCCCCAAATCTTGGTGTGCTTTCTATATTTCATCCAGATCTGTGTAGTAACATAGCATGAAGCTTCCCTGTGCAGGAGCATCCTTTGATAAAGACCAGGCACTGTTGCCCTCTCTCCTTGTGCAGGATGATAGGTCTTTTATCTGCCCCTTTAGTTTTCTGCAGGTAGTCTTTAGAAGGTGGGCCTGTTGGGTCCTTCCAACAACTCTGCTCTCTGCAAGGTGTATGTACAGCACAGGAATTATGTTACTGTTATTTTATACAGTATGTTAAAAACAGGTTTTGCAATGCCATTAAGTGCACTCCAAGACAATTTATATCCCTATTGGCTATTGGGGAATTCATTTTTTAAAATATTTTTTTTTTGTCTAGAGTTCAGCTTTAACTCTTTCAGCTGTTCATAAACATTTCTTAGTTTGTTCACACAGTTTTCTTATTAAGATACCCCTGCCAGACACTATACAAAGTCCTAATCAGTTACCTTTCTCAGCTGCAGTCAAACAATACCACTTGATCAAGGCTTTGATTGGATAGTAAAGGATAACAGCTTACCTTGCTCTTTTGTGAAGTAAGCAAATTCTAATTGTTGGATTCCCAGCACTCAGCAATGCAGTAAAGTCTGGTTGGCTAATAGTTCTGTCCATTCCTTTTCCAATCTGAATGCAGGTGTGCACAGTTGGCTCTACTTTTTAAATTTACACTTAGCATTTTTAATGGATACATAATTGACTTTAATTTGGTCTTTCCACATCAACAATTTACATGTTTTAGTGCATTCGTTACATCAGTTTTAGAGTATTTAGTAGTAGGATCAAAGACATAATATCTTGTATAATAACATATAAATGTATTGTACATAGAAATGTAAGATTGTATTATTACTTAATAGTCTGTTTTATGTCCTCTGACCAGTAAAGTGTTTTTTTTTATTAATGTACATTAAAATCCTTTTAGCCAATAGCTGAACAGCCACTGAAGTTCTGCAAGTTGTCCAAAATAGCTGATATATGCCAAATAATACTGAAATAGTAGCACTGCGCAGATCATATTCTTATTAAAAAAAATATTCTCATTTGAGACACCAGTAAAGCCAGTTAAACATGTATGTATTATTCCTCAGGTTCTCAGTCAAATGGCCATCAAGCTTTAAGATCACTTCCTTCAGTCCGGCAAGATGTCAGCAGATACCAGAGGATAGATGAAGCTCTGCCACCTAGTAAGACAAGATATTATTCAGAACGTATTTCAGTGCTGAAGAGCTTCCACCATTAGCAGATGTTTGCAATGTGAATAAAGTTGTATTTATTGACCCCAGGGACACATAATTTCACTTTATTTCTTTGGTCTACTTTGATGGCCACATTCATCAATATTTTGGAAACTACACATAAAGTATTTTTAAAAATGCTGAGGTGCATCCTGTAGTCATTATAAGTAGAATGTGTGGCATGACTGTTTCTTACAGCCCTGGCCAAACGTTTTGAGAATGACACAAATATTAATTTTCACAAAGTCTTCTGCTTCAGTGTTATTAGATTTTTTTTGTCAGATGTTACTATGGTATACTGAAGTATAATTACAAACATTTCATAAGTGTCAAAGGCTTTTATTGACAATTACATTAAGTTTATGCAGAGACAATTTTTTTTTTCAAGATCTGCAGTGTTGACCCTTCTTTTTCAAGATCTCTGCAATTTGCCCTGGCATGCTTTCAATCAACTTCTGGGACACATCCTGACTGATGGCAGCCCATTCTTGCATAATCAATGCTTGCACTTGTTCAGAATTTGTGTGTGTGTGTGTGTGTGGGGGGGGGGGGGGGGGTTGTTTACCTGCTTTTTGAGGATTGACCACAAGTTCTCAGTGGGATTAAGGTCTGGGGAGTTTCCTGGCCATGGACCGAAAATTACGATGTTTTGTTCCCCAAGCCACTTAGTTATCACTTTTGCCTGATGACAAGGTGTTCCATCATGTTGGAAAAGGCATTGTTCGTCACCAAACTGTTCTTGGATGGTTGGGAGAAGTTGCTCTTGGAGGATGTGTTTGGACCATTCTATATTCATGGCTGTGCTCTTAGTTAAAATTGTGAGTAAAGTATGCTTTACTGTTGGAGTGATACAGAACTGGTGGTAGCACTCAACATTTCTTCTCTGGACAAGGTTTTTTCAAGATTCCCCAAACAATTGGAAAGGGGATTCATCAGAGAAAATTACTTTACCCAGCAGTCCAATCCCTGTATCTTTTGCAGAATATCAGTCTGTCTCTGATGTTGTTCCTGGAGAGAAGGGGCTTCTTTGCTGCCCTTCTTGACACCAGGCCATTCTCCAAAAGTCTTTGCCTCACTGTGCATGCAGATGCACTCACACCTGCCAGCTGCCATTCCACTTGCACTGGTGGAGCCCTGAGCAACTGAATCAACTGTAGGAGATGGTCCTGGCACTTGCTGGACTTTCTTGGGCATCCTGAAGCCTTCTTCACAACAATTGAACCTCTCTCTTTGAAGTTCTTGATGATCCAATAAATGGTTGAGTTAGGTGCAATCTCAGTAGTAGCAATATCCTTGCTTGTGAATCCCTTTTCGGGCAAAGCAATGATGACTGCACGGGTTTCTTTGCTGGTAAATTAATATTTGTGTCATTCTCGAAACTTTTGTCAGGGGCTGACAAAAAGCTAAGTTAACTTTGAAAGTGCACATCTCTCCTTTGAATGGGTTCATAACAGGATAAATGTTATCTAATCCTTCAACATCTTAGAGCTGTTCTTTGCAATCCTCTAATTAGACTGTCTTCCTGGAGCCCTGTTTTTCCTCAACTCTTATTGTGGTACAGTGTATTGTTTAAAGTAAAAGTAAAGAGTCTGATGTACTGTAGATCAAGTAAATAGTAGGTGTGAATAGCTGCATAATTTTGATCAAACAGCATTTATGTTTGATGGATCAAATAGCATGAGATTAGAGGCAAATATGTGTAATTAGTAGTAGGAAATCCCCAACATACTATAGCCCGCCAATAGATTTTAAATTTTTTTTTAATTAGCACTGTTTTCATATAGATTATGAAAAGAAGTCCACTTATCAATTAAACCCTTGAACACATTTTAGAATATAAAAAGATAATGATAAAGGATGTGTAGCAAGTTATTGTACCTGTACATGCTACTCTTAATGAATATATCTGAAGCAAACATATGGAAAAGACACTAGAAATTGATAAGCGCATAAAGAAGTAGAAGTCCTACAGTGACTGAATGTTTCTCCTATTTCACAAAAGTCAGTGGTCGCACTCTTACCACTCTCAGAAGCTGATTGAGAGGCCCAGCCGTTTCATGAGTGGGAAAGGGAGCATGTTTATTCCCGTATTTTCAAAACGGGAAAATTGGAAATGTTACACATCTGAAAGTGTAACAAGATTGTGACTTCAAGTGAATAAACAATCATTTAATTAGGATAATACTAGACAAAAAATGTATTGTATTTATTACCTGTATCATAAGCAGTATCTGCCTTTCTGTCCTCCCTAAAATATCCCTGTAAGCATAGATAGTAATTTTTTTATAACAGTTTTGTTTTTAAATATATTTTAATTAGCATATTGTTTAGATGCATTTATTATATTACAATCTTTTTATTTGTTTTTTTTCAAGTAAACAGATTAAGCAATATGAAGATAAGATAGGCATCTCAGGTTTACATACAAATAAGGCACATAGGGCTTTTACAGAGTGTGGAAGGAGGGTAGAACATCAAACCTAAAGAACAGTGAGCATATATCCCAATAATGGGGCTTATAAAATGAAAAACACAATGGCAACAGTAATCGCAGAACTAGCAAATATAACAAAAACTAGATGCATGTATCAATTCACAAACTGGATGCAAATACATTGTAAAGGGTAAAAGATATACTGGCATTGTAAAAGTCAAGCGATTGCTCGGTTAAATAGAACATGTAGATGTACCTATTATATATAATGAAGGGAGTCTCCGAGTTCTGGGAGGTTGTGTTTTGCTGAGGCATTTGTGAACATGTGCTATTTTTTCTTTACTTTATCCTTACATAAAAAAGACAGAGCCCATTGTATCTGGATCTTTCAGGACTTTTTGCATGGCATTAATTTTACTTTGAAATCAAGTTTTATTTAAATTGTGTATGTTTGCTTTTTTATGTTTTACTTATTCTTTGTGTTAATGGCTTATTTATTTTCCTTCAATGGGATTGTATTTTGATCATATTTCTATTATAGCTTTAAGCAAAAAATGTTTCATAATACCTGTTTATAAAATAAGGTTTTTATTTGGATATACTTTCTTTAACCTTTTGTAATTGCTTCTTGGCTTTCCATGTGAGCTATAGACTGCTGCTGCAGCTTACACTTTGTTACTATGTGGGATTCCTCTCTACCAGCAGCAGTACAATCTTTTTCCTGGTGTTAAGTGCCATGGCAAGTAGTGAATACTTGTATTCTAAAAAGGTGTTGGCAAAAAGGATTGGCATTAAAATGCTACTTTAAAAGTCCTTTGGTTGCAGCTGCAAAAATATTTCTTCCACATACACTATATTGCTAAAAGCATTGGGACTCCTGCCTTTACACACATGAACTTTAATGGCATCCCAATCTTAGTCCGTAGGGTTCAATATTGAGTTTGCCCACCCTTTGCAGCTATAACAGCTTCAACTCTTCTCTTCTGGGAAGGCTGTCCACAAGGTTTAGGAGTATGTCTATGGGAATATTTGACCATTCTTCCAGAAGCGCATTTGTGAGGTCAGGCACTGATGTCGGATAAGAAGGCTTCTCTGCTCCAATCCATCCCAAAGGTGTTCTAACAGCTTGAGGTCAGGTCTTTGTGCAGGCCAGTCAAGTTTCTCCACCCCAAACTCACTCGTCTATGTCTTTATGGACCTTGCTTTGTGCATTGGTGCACAGTCATGTTGGAACAGGATGGGGCCATCCCCAAACTGTTCCCACAAAGTTGGGAGCATGAAATTGTCCAAATGTCTTTGGTATGCTTATGCCTTAAGAGTTCCCTTCACTGGAACTAAGGGGCCAAGCCCAGCCCCTGAAAAACAAACCCACACCATAATCCCTCCTCCACCATACATTACACTTGGCACAATAAAGACAGGCAAGTACCGTTCTCCTGACAATTGCCAAACCCAGACATGTCCATCGGATTGCCAGACAGAGAAGCATGAATTGTAATGCCAGAGAACACATCTCCGCTGCTCTAGAGTTCAGTGGCGGTGTGCTTTACTCCACTGCATCTGACACTTTGCATTGCACTTGGTGATGTAAGGCTTGAATGCAGCTGCTCAGCCATGGAAACCCATTCCATGAAGCTCTCTACACACTGTTGTGCTAATCTGAAGGCCACACAAAGTTTGGAAGTCTTCAGCTATTGACTCTGCAGACAGTTGGTGACTTCTGCTCACTGTGCGCTTCAGTATGCACTGACCCTAATCTGTCATTTTATGTGGCCTAGTTGCTGTTGTTCCCAGTTGCTTCCACTTTGTTATAATATCACTAACAGTTGACAGTGGAATATTTAGTAGCAAGGAAATTCCAGAGATGGAATTATTGCACAGGTGGCAACCTATCATGGTACCATGCTTGAATTCACTGAGCTCCTGAGAGCGATCCATTCTTTTACAAATATTTATAGAAGCAGTCTGCGTGCCTAGGTGCTTGATTTTATATACCTGTGGCCAGGGAGGTGATTGGAACACCTGAATCCAATGATTTGGAGGGGTATCCCAATATTTTTGGCAATATAGTGTATCTATATCTTGACAAAATATGGTAAGAATATTTAAAAATGTTGATGTTATTTCTCCTAGGATAACATGAAATGTTTTGAGTGTGACATTATAGTTACTGTATATGGTACATTTCTTTAATTTCTCACTCATGTAAACAGTTCATATGTTAATGTACCATTTAATTGTGGGATTTGTCAGTGTGCCCCCATGAAAAAAAAGGTTAAGCCACACATTCCACTTATTGTTGATTGCTGTTTTCCAGTACCTTAGCTTTTGATCACCCTATCTGTCTGTTATTTGATAATGAGCCACCTTATTGTTCAAACACCTGATTGTCATGAAAACGCTCTGCATTCTCTATGGTGGCATCTAAACTAGGTTTTTGGCGCAAATTTTAAATGCAGCCACCCATTCCACAATCCATCATATTTGCTTTTGATATAGAAATGTTTTCATATAG